TTTCTTTTAAATTTACTATGGAAGATTTTTTAATTCATCAAAATTTCATGTTAAAACTTTCTTACTGTGAAATTATTCAAAGAGAAACAAAATGGCATATCAACAAAATTTGGTACCAATCATGATGAAAAAGTACTGATGGGAATACGATTTTTTTTTTTCTTTTTTCCTTATAAAAGGGCAATGATTTTAAGAATTCAAGCTTATTTGATAACTAACATTCACCAGAATAAAAAAACTCAACAAACTCAACTTTTCAAAGAAATCATAATCATGAACCGAAAATTTATATTTGCATTCCTCTTATTGGTCACGCTTTCCATTGTCAATGCAATTCCACATAAACTTCTTAAAAGATCTGGCTATTATTCATGTCCACGAGACCTTTTATTACTCCGTGGATCATTTACAATGATCGATCAAAAGTATAATGCTACTGTTACCGGAACATTGAAGAATGATGTTACCGAACAAACCAAACTTGTGGTTGCATTTGGTGATTCAAATGGAGCTGCCTTAGCAGACCCCATTATTTTTGATGCTTGTACTGGAAGTGGATGTCCAATTAAAGCTGGTGATGCAATTAATCAACAGGTGGAATTTCAAGCACCAGACAAATTACCTAAACCGTACAATATGGTATTTAGTATGGCTAATTCAGAAAGTGATATTCTAGGCTGTTTTTATTTTCCATTTAAATCTTAATAATTATATTGATTTTAATATTTGATTTTGATAAATCTTGAAACGAAAGAGGTTCGTCTCTTTTTAATGATTTATTTCGTGTTAAGCTTATAAAGATTTATGTGTGCTCTTTCTAATTCACCTTTGCAAGAAATTGTTTGATATTCATATTATCGTCCTCATTCTTATCTATTATTATAATTTTAGCCATAGTATATTTAAAAGAATATATAATTTTATTTTTTTATTTTTTTTTCTTACTTTTATCTAGATTTCTCTTTTTTTTCAAACATTTTTACGTCTATATTCAAAAAATATTTACATTTATACAATAAAATATTTTTCACCGCCGAAAAGATCAGAACTGAAACTGAAATTGAATCTTTACATTTATTTTTAAGCGTTTCATAATTGCGTTCGTTGTAAGAAATTTAGGCTACATGAATTTCCAAATGATTTATGTATTATTAATTTAATTAAAGGTTAATTCTTAAAACCTTTTCATAACTTTCACGATAATATATACGGACATTAATTACTTTTAGTCAAAGCATCCTTCTTGAAATTTTTGCGTTGACAATGTGAAATGTTATACCAAATAAATTAATTAAATTTCTAAATTCATGTAATATGAAAAAAATATAATTATATTTGTTAAACTTTTCCATACTTTTTTTTTATATTTCTCACTTATATCTAAATTCTTTCACTTGAGTACTTAAGTTACCTTCTCGGGAACTTACTTATAAAATCGAAACCATATCGTGAAAATTTATTGTAGATCTTATAACCAAGAACTAGACTCATGATTATGGCCGGCCAGGGCCGGCCTTTATATTTGAAAGTAACATATGTATATTATTTAATTTTTATAACATATCATTATTAATTTGCTGGTATATGTATTGTATATATGTAAGTACACCTGTAATGTTACGCCTAATATGTTGCTATATGTGGCGCGGCTAGCTGTAATTTTGATCGTCAACAAAAAAATTGACCACCAAAATTGATTTTTTTTTCGACAGGTTTTTTTCCTTCGTTTATTTCAGTAATTAAAGTATTTAGTTTTTTAGTTTTTGTATTTCTGTATTGATTATATTTTTTGTAAAATAAAAAAATAAAAGGTAAAGTAAATTTACGGTATTTATGAAATTTATTTATATTGAATTAAAACGTGTAAATATAAAAAAGTAAAATAAAAATATGGTATGAATCGCTCTCTAAATGCTAACTATAAATGCTCTCACTACGATTGTAGTCCAACACCCTAATTCTAAAGATGAAGAATCTAAAGAAAGAAATACCTCAATTTGGCCATTTATTCAATACATTCTTGCTCAAAACATGCTCTTTTTCGCCTGTTTTCCTCTTTTTCCCTGGAATAACCATAGGTCACAAAGTTTCTTTTCCTTTATTATTAGAAACGGCAGTCTTCGCTTGGAACCACCACCTTGTGATTTTCAATTCTTGAACTCGTATGTTAGCACCACTTTTTACACGAACCATTGGGTCCAGATCACGATAGAGGTCATAAAGGAAGAAGGATAATCGGGGTATGGACTTTGACTTTGCAGCGTTATAACAATCTTTAAATTGTCCAGTACAATTTATAGCGTTTGACAAGAATATTGATAATCAGATTTAACTACTTCTAAAAAAGAAGTAAACTCAGAAATATCAATTTCTTTGTCCTTCTCACTTGGTTCACTACAAAAAAATCATCAAAAATCATAAAAACTTCGCGATACTTGTAATTTATTGATGAAACAAAAAAAACTTACACTCCCTTGATGGTCTCATTTCAGTGTGTAAAATTTGTGTGCATAAAAAGACTTGCTCTTGTTACACAGATTTCGATTTTTCATTAATTATTAATATGATTGATATACTTTATGTAAATCGCAGTGTTTGTTTTATATAATAGCAGCTTTCAAACTTTTCAAAGCAATGCAACGTTTACCTACCTAAATTTTAAAAACTTATAAATCAGATTTAATATTTCATTATGAACTCATCAAATCTATATTATTCTAGCTATTTCATAACTTAACTTTAAACATATATCATTATATTACAAAGTTGTACTAAAAATTCTAATCTAAAGCGGATGTTTCTCTTGGTTCAATAAAACTTTTCTTGCGTTAATACTTTACATATTAAAATCGGCATATTGACTTACAAGCATTTTTGAGAAGTGAACATTTTGTGTGAGACAGAAATTATAATTACGGTACGAATCTTATTTTCTTCACACCACAATAATTTTTTTTTAAAATACTTTATCGCGAACACAATTTTCGCAGGCATGTTCTATTTATTTATCTCCTATCCTCATTATTTTTGTCTCGAAACAAACCAGAAGTTTCTTTGAAAACAGTTGATAATAGTTCACTGGTCCGCACGATGTTTACCACCAACCACACCGGTAAGCTTTATTCCTTTTATATCCAAAACATATGGCAATATTATATAACGCATCGTTGAAAATTCAAAAGGGTAATATTCGATTAAAATCTTCCTTCCTTTTGTTCTAAATGTTTTTGTAAAAACCAATGTATATAAAATATTTAAAAACAAAATCCGTTTGTTTTTATAAATCCAATTGTGAAGACGACGATATTTAGACAATAAATTAAAAAACGTATAGGCCTGAAAATACAGATAACTAATGAAAAGGTTTTGAAGTACGCTGACGACATCTATCAATGTTCTAAATATACTTTTCAAGATAATAAGTGTATATCTTTCATAATTATATATGCTCTTCGTCATAGAATGTTAAATTTCTGTCTTAAATCATGTATCACTAACTTTAATTTTTTTTTCCAGTATTTTCTTTATCTAGCAAGGGCTCGTATTCCAACTTTTCATTAAAACATCGAGATTCCACATGGCAATTTGAAAGGAAGAGAAATGCCAGTAAAAATAAAAGTGAGCTAGCTAAAAATCATATTTGGCTTATAAAAGTAAATATTACAAAGGACCCTTATATCTTTAGTTACGATGCATAGTTGTTATCTTTGTTTTTTAATATTTGTGTTTAAGGTTTTTTTTATTTTAATTGAGAAGAATAAAAAGTGAGTACCTAATAAGCGAAAAAAAAGAACAAATCAATACGCTTACCTATTTGTATAATTAACGCAACCCGAAGCTGAAAGAGGAGAAACTTAACATTTTTTTTTTTATTTGATAAAGTTTTTTTTAATTTTATTTAAGTGAACTGTTATAAACATGATCACAGCATTTTTTTTTTATTTTATTTTTTATTTTTGTTTTTTTTTTGCCTTTAAATTTTTTTTAATTTCTGCGTTCGATCGTTCAAAGACCACCGATTGAAAATATTTTCAGACTTTATGTTCTTTTTTTGGACCAATTAAGATTGCATTAATTTTATTTTAAATTATTAATTATATTTTTATTTTTTTAGACGAGATAGAGCGCTGCAATTACTGTGGGTTTAGCTTCATATTTCAGGTTAACCAATGTACTATTTTTTTTATACTTATGATCTTATGTTTTCATATTGTTTTATTTTTTTTTATATCTATTAATTCGCTTTGTACCGTAGCAATCGAAATAATTCCCGCCTTATTGATTGATCAATTTAGATAGTATTAATATTTGGTGATTTATTTTTTTTTTGATTTATTTTGTCCAAATCTAATAAATCTAGCATAAAAAAAAAATCATACCTTTGGAATTTGACCTACATCCGTGTTTTATAAAAAAAAATCATTTGTTAAGCTAATGAAGTTTCACAAACAAAATCAAAACTGTAATGCATTATATGGTCAACTCAAATTCGAAAAAAAAAAATTCAACAACTTTCAAGTTAAGAATTTCACAAAGAATGTAGTAATTATTAAATATAAGCTAAATACATTTTGACATATAAAGATAATTTTTAAGTTATTAGTATTCTTCTGTAATGATACTCATTCCATGGTTTTTAGCGTATTAAGATTGTATAATATGTATTATTACACGGTCCATTAGGATTGTGCGGAATTTAATGTACTGATATTTTTTTAATCATACCTGTTATTTTTTTTTGCTGATCGACATTATATAATATTGGTACACGCACTAATCCTAATAGACAGTATAATAATATTGTACCATATCGGTCTTCGACCAATATTTTAACGCCCCGTTCAATAACATGAAAACAATTTATAATAAAATGATCTAAAAAACGCAAATTCTTTATTTTATTATAAATATAAAATAGTGTATCGTAAAAATAATAAATATGTCATTCCAAGATATGCGCGCGGATATGTTGTAAAGTAATTAATATCAAACGAAATTCACGTGACAAGAGAGTCACGTGAATCCATTCACAATTTACCTTTTATTTTAAATTCTAATTATGTTTTTGAATATTAAAGTCAAATCATAAGATCGTTTCTACTTAATCAGATGAGTGTTTCCTTGTTCTGCAATCTATTTGGATGTCAGATCGTCTCAATGTACTTCCGGATTTCATGGACCCTTGAATTATTGCATTAAAAGTTCACTTGCTAATTTTTACAGCAATGCAAAAATATTATTTCAGTTTTACAGAATATTTTCACTCATACTTTAGTGAAAAAGTTTCTCACTTGCATGAGGAACCAAGATGGGTGGCGCAACAATTCATTTCTCAATTGCGAAGAGGAATAAATCAGCTCGCAGAAGGTTCTTCAGTTATGAGAATCAAACTGGATTATAACATATCCTTTTGTTAATTTATTCTTTCCTAGCGATATTTAAAAATAATATTGGTAAATCAATAAAGGTACAATTCCAACATCGATTCTATAATTATTTTTTATGCACTGATATGTGATCTATATTCCCAAAAGGATTACGGTCTTAAAATTTTTATCATAATCATTTATTTTTTGAAAGTTTTATTATATATAATTAACTAAATTTCTCATTATTAATGTCCACTTGACCTATGATTATCCAGAGAAACTTTTTAACGCGCGTGTTGATGAACAAATGATATTTTTCCACGTGACGAATATCGACAAACTCGATTCTCTAAAATATTTGATAAGTCGAAATTTAATTAATAAATATAAAATTACTATATAATAACTGCAAATTAAAAAATTATAATATAACAAATTCGAGTATCGCATACATTTCTGTCAAGAAATATACCAAAATTTATTTATCAAGTAATTTCCTTGTGTTTATGAAATTTATAATAATGTACTGTATGTGTGCTGAAAATGATCGTCGTATTACTGTACATGTTTTAACAAGTATTCTTTATACGTAGCAGGAGTTAAATATAATATATGTTTTTATTTATTTATTTATTCTATCTACTTATTGATTTCTATATTTATTTAGTTTAGTCTACAGGAATGAAAAATGTTACAGAATTAAATCCTCCTACAATTCCAATGTTTGATAAACAAAAGTATAAAGCAATTTTTAATATATCTAAACACTATTACTGCATAAAGAACTTGAAGAGTTACCTGGTATCTTTTATAATTATTATAAATTTTTGAGTTATATTATATATTTATTTTAATATATTATACATTTGCATTTAAAGATTCTATTGAAATTAAATCAACAAGCATGTCCTTATTAAAAAGTGTTACAATTCATACAAGAAAAAAGTCTCCATATAAATCTAATATTAATATATTAAAAGAAATGACTTTTGAAGAACTTATAGCTTTAGTATTTCCATTAGGACCTGCTAATAATAAGAGATTTGTTATAAAATCATCACTTAATGATGATGCAAAGGAATATCTTCCAAATCAAGTAACTGATACAATTTTTTTTGAAGAACATGTGAATATTTGGGTTGATATGGAATTTATCTCAGTAGATTTTGATGATGTAATTTTTTAATATTTTACATTTATTTATGATAATAATAATAGTAATAGCAATAATAATAACAATAATAATAATTAATAAATAATAATAAAGTGATCTTTTTGATAATTTGTATAAAATATATTTTATTTATTGATAAAATTGTAAATTTAAATATATCCAACATGTTGAAAATATGCATTAGCTAACTCTTTTCTAATTGACATACTACCTAAATCTAATGCTTGTGTAGGATCTTCTAAAGTTTCTATCCAATTACGATTTTGTCTTAAAAAATTTTTAATATAATAAAATGATTGTTCAATCTAACAATATATATAGACTAGTATATATTATTAATAATAAAAATAATATTGAATTTATAACTGAAAATTTAACTTACAGGATTATAGTCAGGTGAATATACTGGTAGAAATTCTAATATTACACCTTTTTCTTCATATAATCCTTTTATGAATAGAGGTATTATCTAAAATTAAAACATTATATGGTCTAGGAAAGCAATTCATTTTTGGTAACTAATAAATATTGAATTAATTTATAAGTTATTTATAAAAGAAAGTAATCAATAAATGTAAAATTATATTATACCTATATATGTTCTACAAAAAATTCAAAATATTTTATACTCTTCAGACCCTCTTGTATTTTATAAATTAATAATCTACCTATATATAAAGCATTCTCAATTGTAAATCTTTGTTCTCTAATAAAAAAAATAAGGTTTTTCTGCACAAGTTCCTTTAAACTTCATCTATATCTTCTTAATAATGATTTCCTATCATATGTAGATTTATCACTAAATACTAATTGCCTTAGAGTATATTGAAAAATTTGTAAAATATAATCTGCCCTATTAATCTCATTTCTTTCTTTTGCTAGTTTAGATAACTTTAAATTAAATATATAACAATAAGTTCTTTTTTATTATTATATCCTACATATAGCATTTAAACAATAAATTTAAATATCTATTTATATGTATTCAAGATGATGTAAAGCACGTCATATTGTAACATATCAATAGTACATTTAAGCCACATTTTTATTTCATTCTGTAATTCTCATATATACCAATCTACCTTTCTTTTAATAGAAACTCTAGATATTTTAAATCATATTTTAATAATAAATGCAGTTTATAATATAATGAAGATAACAGTTCTACTGAATTATATTTTTGAAAGTGAAGTATGATTCTATATAGAGAGGTTTTACTAATTTTATAATATTTTGCAATTTCTCTTTATGAATTTTCACATAAATATTTTCAATTATTTATCAACGAAATGCGAGATAATTTTTAATTTTTTTATATTATAATAACAGAGAATACAATTAGTTATACAAATTACATAACTCCTTTATTTATTTAGAAATTTTATTGTGTCTCATATGTCATATATCACATGTTACAAAAATCTCAAAAATCAAAATTTATTAAGTAGTTCGTAAGTAATAAAATTAGCTGTAAATATATATGACATATATTTAGCTTTGAAATATAAAAATAATTTTAAGTTATTAATATTCTTCTGTAATGATACTAATTCTATAGATTTTAGCGTATTAAGATTGTATAATATATAATATTTATAATAAAATTATTCTACTAAAATGCAAACTCTTTATTTTATTATAAATATAAATAGTATATCATAAAATAAAAAATATGTGAATTCAAGAATACGCATGAATATGTTATAAAGCAATTAATATCAAATGATGATCACATGACTTTCTTATCATAAGAATTCATTTATGATTCAATTTTATCTTCACTACCTTTTAAATTTTAAAAGAAATCTAATTATATTTTGAAATATTAATATTATTAAATCAGAAGACCATTTTTACTTAATAAGATAAGTGTTTTCTTATTCTGCAATCTAATTAGATATCAGACTATCCCAATATACTATTTTTAGATTTCATAATTTTCTTGAACTATTGCATTAAAAATTCACTTGCTAATTTTTACAGCAATGCAAAAATATTATTTTAGTTTTACAGACTTTTTTTACTCATACTTTAGTGAAAAAGGTTCTTACTTACATGAAAAACTAAGATAGGTAGCATAATAATTTATTTCTTAATTCAAAGAGGAATAAATAGATTTACAGAAAGTTCTTCAGTTATGAGAATTAAACTGGATTATAACATACCTTTTATTGATTTATTCTTTTCTAGTGATATGTAAAAATAATATTAGTAAATCAATAAATATACAATTTCAACATCAATTCTATAATTATTTTTTTATGCACTGATATGTGATCTATATTTCAAAAAAATTATGGTCTTAAAATATTTATCATAGTCGTTTATTTTTGAAAGTTTTATTATATAATTAATTAAATATCTCATTATTTAATGTTCACTTGACCTGTGATTATCTAAAGAAAATTTTAACTTGCGTATTAATGAACAAATAATATTTTTCTATGTAACAAATATCAACAAATATTTCTCAATTCTCTAAAAAATATTTTAAAGAATCGATAAGTTAAAATTTAATTAATAAATATAAATTACTTATATAATTTAACTGCAAATTAAATAAATTATAATATAACAAATTCAAGTATCAAATACATTTCTTTCAAGAAATATACTGATTTAGGATTTAAAAATTATTTATCAAGTAATTTTCTTGTGTTTATGAAATTTATAATAATGTATGTATGCTGAAAATGATCATTATAATATTTTAATAAGTTGATGTGTATTATACGACTTTATGATAATTAAAAAAAAACTAAAAAAAAAGAAACTTTTTAATTTTTATGATGTCTGACAATAAAAAAGAGATGAAGTTTGTGAGTATGAAGTTTAGCATATTTGAATAAGTTTCCTAAAATTAAATCTGATATACTATTAAATAACAAATATTCTCATTATAAATTTAATAAATATTTAATACATATTATAAAATCAGATTCAAATATAAAAAAAGCTTATACTAAAAGTAAAAATGATTTAATTATCAGTATTTAATTATACTTTTTATTATAATTTAAATACAACTCAACTAAAATTTTAATTACAGTTAGTAAATTATTTTTATTAATTATCATTATTTAATTATCAATATTTAATTATAATTTAAATACAATCAAATTTTTTATTTAAAAATATTTTGATAATTAATAATAAAATAGATGGTAAATTATTTTATGATTATTAGTATTTAACTATACTTTTTATTATAATTTAAACTTAACTAAATTTTTTATTTAAAAACTAAAGAGTGTAAATTATTAGTATTTAATTATGCTTTTTATTATAATTTAATCAATTAAATTTCATTTAAAAACTAAAAAACGTAATATTTAATTAAAATTTAAAATTACAGTTAGTTATTTATTATTAGTATTTAATTATATTTTTTATTGTAATTTAAATTCAACTAAATTTTTATTTAAAATACTAAAGCAAGTAAGTTATTTTTATTAATTATTAGCATTTAATTATACTTTTTATTATAATTTTATTAACTAATTTTATTTATAAATTAAAGATTGTAAGCTATTTTTATTAATTAACAATTTTAATTATATTTTTTATTATAATTTAATAAACTAAATTTTTTATTTAAAATTAAAGAGCATAAGCTATTTTATTAAATATTAATATTTAATTATACTTTTATTATAATTTGAACAACTAAATTTTTTATTTTAAAAACTAAAGAAAGTAAGTTATTTTTATTAATTATTAGTATATAATTATAATTTTATTATAATTTAATCAACTAAATTTTTATTTAAAAACTAAAGAATTTAAGATTTTTATTAATTATCATTATTAATTATATATTTTTTTGTAATTTAAACTAAACTAAATATTTTATTTAATTAAATTTTAAATTTATAGTTGATAAGATATTTTATTAATTATTACATTTTAATTATACTTTTTATATAATCAACTAAATTTTTATTTAAAAACTAAAGAATGCAAGTTATTTTTATTAATTATCAATATTTAATTATACTTTTAATTATAATTTAATTAATTAATTTTTATTTAAAACTTAAGTATGTAAGTAATTTTTATTAATTATTAGCATTAATTATAATTTTTATTGTAATTTAAATTCAACTAAATTTTTTATTTAAGAAATTAAAGCAAGTAAGTTATTTTTTATTAATTATCAGTATTTAATTATACTTTTTATTGTAACTTAATTAACTAAATTTTTATTTAGAATACTAAAGCAAGTAAGTTATTTTTATTAATTATTAATATTTAATTATACTTTTTATTATAATTTAATTAATTAAATTTTTATTTATAAACTCAAGAAAGTAAGTTATTTTATTAATTACTTTTAATTACATTTTTTATATAATTTAATTAACTAAATTTTTTATTTTAAAACTAAAAAATATAAGTTATTTTTATTAATTTTTAATATTTAATTATACTTTTATTATAATTTAATCAACTAAATTTTTTATTTAAAACTAAAAAGCATAAGTTATTTTATTAATTATCAGTATTTATTTATACTTTTTATTGTAATTTAACTTAATTAAATTTTATTTAAAAGCTAAAGAATGTAAGGTTTTTAATTAATTATCAGTATTTAATTATACTTTTATTGTAAATTTAAACTCAACTAAATTTTATATTTAAAAAAATATTTATAATTATTATTATAATAGTTAGTAAGTTATTTTTATTGATTTTTAGTATTTAATATATTTTATATTAATTAATATATATATTTTTATTGATGGTATAAGTTTTAGAATCTGATAAGTTTTATAAGGATAATGCTAATAAATGGATAGAAAATGCATTAAAAAGTAAAAAAGTTAAATTTATATCATTTAATCAATTAATAAATTCTAAACAACTTACTACTGGAGGATTTGGATCTATTATGGAAGCAACTTGGATTACAACAGGAACATATGTTTATAAAAAATTAACTAATACACAATCTATTAAAGGATGCTTTTATTCATAAATTAAAAATCCATTTACATTTTGATTATATTGATCGAATTGTTCATTGTTTAGTATTAGTAAAGGTAATTTATGATTAATTTTTTAAAGTTTAAATTTTACATTATTATTTATTATTATAAAAATTCCATTTCTTATATTCTTTATAGATCATGAAGATTATCTTCTTATAATGCAATATGCTAATGATGGTGATCTTCAAAATTATCTTGAAAAGAATTTTAAAAATTTAACTTGGGACAATAAGAAAAAATTAACATTTCAAATTGCTGAAGGATTAAATTACTTACATAACGAAAATATTTTGCATAGAGATTTTGTAAGTATTAACTTTGTTTATTTATTAAAGTTATTAAATTTAAATTATCTATTTAATTTAGCATTCTAAGAATATAGTTATTCATGATGGTAATGCTAAAATAACAAATTTTGACATTTCCAAAAATATGAATATGCAAAATTCTACTATTCATATCGGCACTTTTGGTAGAATTCCATATGTAGATCCAAAAAAAACTTTTAGATTTAAATTTTCAATATGAAAAAGCTTCAGATATTTACAGTTATGGTGTATTGATGTGGGAAATTTCTATCGGAGTTTCTCCATTTAAAAATTTTACTAGTAAATGTGATCAGGATTTACTATATTTTAACATTCCTAAAGGATACCGTGAAAATACTATAGAAGGAACACCTGACGATTATAAGGAACTTTATAAAAAATGTTTGGATTCAATACCTGAGAAAAGACCAAGTATTAAAATAGTATTAGAAGAATTTAAAAAAATGGGTTTTGGAATAGAAAATGAAGATAATGAGGATTCAACGCCTTTGGGAACTGAAATAAGCATCATTAAGAATATTTCGGCTGAAGGTACAGTAATGACTAATTAATGTATTATTGTTAATAATGATATTTTAGTAGGACAAACCGAAGAATTAAATCGCTCTCTAGATACACATGATGATTTAATTAGCAAGTTATTTAATTTATATGTTGGTATTTAATATAAACAGTATATATTAATAAATTTGAATTTTATTGTTATATTTAGTTCCATAATAT